CAAACGGTGAACGCACTCAGCTGCTAACCAAAAGGCTGGAGATTCAAGTACACCCAGAGGTGCCTTGGAAGAAAGGCCTGGAGATCTACCTCCAAAAGTCAGCCACTCAAAACCCTATGGAGCACAGTTTGACTCTGACACACGTGAAGTTGCCCTGCTAACTGGTTTATAGATTAATGGTTGATGCTTTGGGACACAGAAGCATCCTGTATTATCAAAGAAATGTTGAATATATAAAGAGGAATGTTAGTTTTAAATGTATTTTGTTTTATTTTCGTTTTAAAAATGTTATAGTCAGGTATTACTACTAAACAGAGGACATCTCCCATACTATAACTAACTCCTAAGCAAATGTTAGCCAGTTGATTTCATTTTTTTTTTTTTACTCATTCTTCATTCTATTATTTGTTCACCTATTCATGTCACATCTATAGAGTACAAACCATAGTACTTTCACTCTGAAAGGAACATAAAAATAATGATTAAATTCATAATTCACAGAGGCTCGGGTAGTTACTTCTCTAGATCAGATTTATATGAGATCAGTAATATTTTCTACTTAAAGTTGCAGCCATTTGCATTGGATTTCTTGTTACATGCAGCCAAAAACCATGCCAACTGGTTGAGACCCGAATGCCCACCATTAGAAGATTAGTTAGGTAAATTATGATGCATACACTGGCATCCCAATCATTAACATGATTATTTGCCTAGCTATTAACGGAAAAATATATCCATGATACATCGTTGAGCCCCCCCCCCCAAAAAAAAAATCCCAGTCTGTACAACATTTATTCATTTAGGAACATTAACTGAGCTCCAGGCACTGTGTTAGGTGCTGAGGATGCAGTGGTAAGCAGGAGAGATGCAGAGAGAACACAGTGTAGCAGGCAAATAAAGTAACTGGATTTGCCAGAAATGTTTGAGGGAAAAACTACGGGACAGCACTGGAGAGTAACAGGGAGCAGGGACACCCACTTTTGCTTGTGTGGTCAGAGAAGTCCTTTCTGAGGAGGTGACATTCAAGCTGAAAACCTAATGGAAGAAGAGCAGCAAGGTGTGCAAAGATGGGGGACGAGCATTCCAGGTGGAGGAATGGTAGATGCTGAAGTCCTGAGGTAGGAACAGGTGGGTTGTTTGAGGAATTTAAAGAAGACCAGAGTCTGGAATGTAGTCAGTCAGGGAGATGGGACACAAGACAGAGTTGCAGAATAAACATGAGAAAATGTTTGGATTCTCTTCCATTGTGATGGGATTTAACTGGAGGATTTAAAAAGTTTATATTGAAGTTGTCAAGGATTTCATTTTACTTGGATCCACAATCAACTCCCATGGAAGCAGCAGTCAAGAAATCAAACGATGTATTGCACTGGGCAAATCTGCTGCAAAAGACCCCTATAAAGTGTTAAAAATACAAAGATGTCACTTTGATTACTAAGGTGGACCTAACCCAATTCATGGTTTTTTCAATTGCCTCATATGCATGTGAAAGCTTGACAATGAAAAAGGAAAACTGAAGAATTCATGCATTTGAATTATGGTGTTGGCAAAGAATACTGACTATACCATGGACTGCCGGAAGAATGAACAAATCTATCTTGAAGGAAGTACAGCCAGAATGCTCCTTAGAAACAAGGAGGGTGAGACTTTGTCTCACTTACTTTGGAAATTTTATCAGGAGAGACCTGGACAAGGACATCATGTTTGGTAAAGCAGAGGGTCAGCGAAAGAGAAGAAGACCCTCAATGAGATGGATTGACACAGTGGTTGCAACAATAGGCTCACACATACCTACTACTGTGGGGATGGCACTGGACTGGGCAGCGTTTCGTTCTGCTTCACATGGGGTATCTCTGAGTTGTAACCGACTCACCAGCACCAAACAAAAACAATGATATTGCGAGAACATCACCTTTATCTCTGTATGGGGAATGGATTGGAGGAGGATAAAAATGGAAGCAGAGTGTGGTGAAATGAGTTCCTTTATGTGGTCTTTTGCCTTGGTTCTGTGAAAAAAACAAAGAGATTTTTCCTCTAAGACCTGGAGAAGCTTGTTACTTTTGCCCAGAGAAGAAGCCAGTCCCTGCTGGCAGAAAATGTCAGTTATTATGCAAATAGATGGAGTCTTTTTAGTCCATCAAGGGATTTGTTGTTTATTATGCAAATAGTAGCTTGAAAATCTGCCCAATAGGATTGAGCTGCTTGACTATGTAAAGAGCCAACCCCACACGGATGGTCAGAAGCAAGAAAGGGAAGAGGTGAGGAGGGAATAGCAGAACGAGAGTGAGCCAAGCACCTTGGAGAGAGACCGAAAGGCGATGTGCAGGCCGAGAGTGGGCATGCACAGCTGAAAGAGAGCTGAGAGAGTTGTCTGTGCTACACTGAAAAAGGGAGGGATGTGCTCTTCACTTTTGGGGCGCCTTCCAGGCCTTGCCTGTGTGCTTCCTGATGCTGATCCTGAATTGTAGCCTGTTATTTCCAAGTTGATCCTGTTCCTCTTACTTCGTGATCCCAAGTTGTAGCCTGTTACTTCCCTAATAAACCACATACCTGTAAGTACAGTGTGTGAGTTCTGTGAGATGTTCCAGTAAATTACCAAACCCAACAGAGAGTAGAAGAGAGTAAGGGGAGGGAGAGCGATTGATGTCAGAGATGATGGAGTCGTGCAGCAGCTTGGAGAAGTTGTAAACCTGGGACATGTTTGACCCTGCCTCATAGGAATCAGCTTTGTGCTGATTCTTGTTAATGGAATAATACATTTATAGAGAGACCAATGAGGAAGCTGTGGTAGAAATCCAGGTGAGATATGGCAGTGGGACCTGGACCATGATGGTACAGTGGCGGAGAGAAGAAGGTACTTCATATTATGTTCTGGAGAGTGAGGATTTGTTCATGGGCTAGATACTCAGGGAGAGACGAAGGGAGAAATCAAGGTCACTTCAGGCTTGACTAAGTGGTGGAGCCATTTATTTTCATGGGCATAACCCAGGTGATAGGAATGGACCGTCTTGGAGGTGGATCTTGAATTCCATTTGAAACCTGTTGACTTTGTGATGTCTGTGACTAATGGAAGTGGAGATGTCAAGAGGGCATTTGGATGCACAAGTCCAGAGGAGATATCTGGGGTGGAAATGGAGCATGAAGGTGGAATTCAAATAGGTGAGAATGGAGAATGGGGAGTAACACTAAAGAGAAAATAGGGCTGCGGCTGAGCCCTGAAGGATCTGAACATTCAGAAGTTGAGTGGAGGAAGTTGAGTAGGGAGAAGGAGGGAATCCAGGAGAGAATGGCAACTTGGAGGTCAAAAGAGAGTGTGCAGAGGAGAGGAGGCTACCATAAGAGATGCTGCTAAATTGCTTTTGCCTCCTGATAGTGATCTTTTCAAGTTAAATAAATATAAAAATGAAAACTGGTGTTTTGGTATACTTTAAAAAATTTATTTTGAAATAATTTCAAACTTACAAAAAATTGGTGCCCTTCACCTACATTCCCTGGTTATGAGTATTTTCCCTAATTTGCTTTATCATTTTCTTTATTTTCTCTGTATATATTATTTCCCTCCAAACCATTTGAGAGTAAATTGCTGATATGATGCCCCTCTAGATACTTCAATGTATACTGTTTGAAAACAAGGACATCCTCTTACATAAAAATCAAGAAATTAACATTGATTCAATAATATTATTGAATCCAACAGTTCTCAAATTGTTCCCTGGGAACCCCTTTAAGGATCTGCGAGATCCAAACTATTTTCATCATAATACAAAGACCACATTTGCCTTTTTCATTTCCAGTCTTGTTCTGGTATTAATAATAATGAATTTATTATTGTTATATAAAATGTATCAATAAATATTTAACAGTTTTTCTTAGTTGTAATTTCTAATACTGTAAATATTTTTTGATATAACCCACATAAGCAAAAGTTATTTGGCATGCTCAATAATTTTTTTAAATGTAAAGGGTCCTGAAATAAAAATGTTTGAGATATGCTGATTTAATGTAAAGAATATATTCAAATTGTACCAATTGTCCCAGTAATGAACTTTACAGCATATATATATATGTATATATATTCTTGTCTTTTGTTCTGGCAAGGATACAACTCAGGTTCATGCATCACATTTCGTTTTTCTGTTTCTTACAACCAAAACCAAAACCGTTGCTGTCAAGTCGATTCTGACTCATAGCGACCGTATAGTCTCCTTTAATCTGGAACAGTTCCTCAGACTTCCTTTGTCTTGATATTTTTGAAGAATCCTGGCTAGTTATTTGGTAGAATGTTCATCAGTTTCGGTTTGGGTGCTTCAGCGGTAGAATTCTTGCCTTACATGCAGGAAACCCTGGCCAATGCACCTGGTGGGCAGCCACCACTTGTCAGTCTGTGGAGGCTTGTATGTTGCTACGATGCTGAACAGGTTTCAGCAGACCTCCCAGACTAATATGAGTCCGGGAAGAAAGGCCTGATGATCTGTTTCTGAAAGTCAGCCAGTGAAAACTCTGTGGATCATAATGGTCCGATTAACAACTGATCACGAGGATGGCCAGGATTCGGCAGCGTTTGATCTGTTGTGCTTGGGATTCCCATGAGTTGAGGGCCCACTTGACACCAGCTAACAACAACATTTCTCATGATCGGATTCAGATCATGCGTTTTTGATAGAAATGCCGAAACACTGACACTTGTCCTTCTCAGTGCAACGTCAGGAGGTACATATGTCCGATTGTCTCATTATGGTAATGTTGACCTCGACGGTTTGATTAAGGTTATCTAGTATTCAACGTTCAAGCATATTAGTTTGTAGTCTTTTCTGGCCAAATAGTGTCACTTGTTCTCCATTTCAATGCTTTCTCTACATCCACCAATGTTAGAGGACTTCAAGGTGGACGGCACACTGTGACTGAATTATTTTTCTCAGTGATGCTAATTTGTTAGTGATAATGATTTAGTTGGGCCCGGGGCGGAGCCTATCTGTGGGCGGTGGGTCAGAGGTAGGCCCTGGGTGGGCGTGGCCGACGCGGGGCGGGGCGGGGAGGGGCGCCGCCGACCTGGGTCAGACGGGCTCGCTGGCGCACTTCCGAGTGTCACCCCCAGAGGGCGCCGGCCGCACAACCGCCTAGCGTCGCGAGGCCGGAGTGTACGCGGCGCCGCCCAGCCGCTGCAGCCGCTGTCATGAAGGCCGTAGTGCAGCGCGTCACCCGGGCCACCGTCACAGGTCAGTCGGGCGGGGCCTGGGCCCGGAGGAGCCGTCCCCGACCCTGTGCCTGGTCGCCCCCGCGCCCCGCGCGGTCCCCGAGGTCGCTCGGCCGCCGCTGCCCAGCGCGAGTCGCCGCAGCCCCGAGCTCGGCCCCCGCAGCCGGAGTCCCTGGCCGGCTTCCGGGCAGCGCCAGGACGAGCGCGACCTCCACGCGCCGGGGGCCCCAGCGCGTCCCTGCGTTAGGGGTTTCCCCTTCGGGTTCATGATAAACGCATTTTGTTTTCTCCTATATCATATGGGTGGTGAGCCTTCGAGCCTCCCCGTGGCCCGACCTTCAATGGGATGCTGCACAAATAGCATATGGGGAGCATTTCCGGAACAGGTGCTCCTCCTTTCATCATTGTCTTAAAATTTTCATTTTTAAATAGTCATATTTTTATGGAGCTTGACTCCCAGTGAAATGTACACATCTGAAGAGTTGGATGAGTTCTGACAGTTTGTACAACCACATGACCAGCGCCCAACTAGATACAGGTCGCCCCTTCCCCACGACATCACCCTACTTCACTCGTTGAGCACCTGCAGTGACGGGGTCAGAATCGACAGAATTCAGGGTGAAATATCTCTTTTTTCACTAAATTCTTCTGGACCGAGCCACCCAGCCATTAGCCATGACCTGGCCACCCTAGCCTGGCTTGAACGTTGGGGTTCCAAATGATTAATGCAGATAAGGTTTTAAAACTCAAACCATGATATTAAATATATTTAAAAAAACATTTAAAAAAGATTAAGATGCTCTTCTAGTCATTTCTATTCTTATTGGTAAAATTATATTATTGTTACAGTTTAAATATTCTTTCTTTCCTACCAGTCTACACCAAACGTGTTCTTGTGTCGACAAAAGTCTAACTCAAAACAACGACAAAAAACCCTAAAGAAATAAGAAAACCCACACAAACCATATATTTGGATCTGAGATTCTGCTTTCAACCCTGACTAATGATTTCTAAGCCCTTCTGGTAACTTTAGTTTTGGATATGGTCCTGGAGTAAAAGAGAATAGGATAGCACTATGATTTATGGAATTGTAAAACAAGGATTTTATAGCTGAATTTCAGTAAATATTTAAGTTCACTAAAAGTGGGAAAGTTCATAGATGAAGAGAACTTCTGCTTTTTGAGAAGAATCTTGCAGTCTGCTGTATGTGAGTTGATTTTCTGTTTTCCCCAGATATCTTCTCCTGAACTCACTATCCTGCAGGTGTGGAATATTGAAAACGTGTATTCTGTGAGATCTGTGGCATGCAGTTAGAGTTATTTTAGCTTACTATTTAAATTATTTGCTTTTAGTTAACAACAACAACAATAACTAAACCAAACTCTCTGTATTAAAAAAGATAAGGATGTTAATTGTGGGAGGGTGTTAATGATTTGTGAGTTCTAGGCTGGAGAACGATGGAATTCTAAGTTGTTGGAGGGACCTTCAAGTTATTCAGGCCTTCTAGGTGAACTGGAATGGAAAGGGGTTTTCTGATTCTTTTAAAATGTGACTGACCCTACTGAAATGTGGCAGTGTTTGAATGGCATTTTATTTCACAGGTTCTAAAACATCACTTTCTACTTTATGGTCAGGACAGAGTAGAATATTAGGAGTCACACATCTGATTATGGGATAGATTCACTTTATGATATTTATCAGATACATTCTGATGCCTTAACATGATGATTGTGATAACCTAATTAAAAAAACTTTATTATGGAAAATTTTAAACATATTTAGATATAGAAAAAGCTTTAGTGTCAAAGATACTCACCACAGTATTATTTATTGAAGTGAAATTCTGAAACAAGCCATATATCCAACAACATGAGATGGTTAGTCCGCTGGGTGGAATGCAACTGTTCCACGTGATGGGATGCAGCTATTAAAAGGTGTTTAGGAAAAGCTGATAACATGGAAAGATTTGTATTAAGAGAAGAGATGAGATACAAAAAGTTATATACAGTTTTATTACAGTGATTGAAAGCAAATATAAAATAAAATCTACAAATAGAAAAGATATAAAGAGGAAATCTAAAATATTTAAATGCTTATTTTTGGGTGTTCTTTTTTCTTAAATTTTCTTAAAATGTACATGCATCACTTTAATGGTAGGTATAGCTCAATAACTTATTTTTTAAGCTTTTAAAACATAACTTTGGGGGAGAAATTTATAAAGTATATTGACATTGTAAGGAAATAATGCTCATTTATTAAAAACAAAGCCAAAGGTTTTTCCTAAAGCATTGCAAACAGGCGAACAAACTGCAGTTACTTACTACTTATGTCAGGATAAATTATTTCTATTTCAGCTTTTGAATTAGTGACTTAATGGATGCTAAGTCATTCATAGTCTGTTAAGAAAAAAACAACACAAAGCAAAATACTGAAAACAAATTTAAGTATAAAACTGAGAGAAATTAGACTTTACTGATATGTATATGGAAACCCTGGTGGCGTAGTGGTTAAGAGCTACGGCTGCTAACCAAAAGGTCGGCAGTTTGAATCCACCAGGCGCTCCTTGGAAACCCTATGGGGTAGCTCTCCTCTGTACTGTAGGGTTGCTATGAGTTGGAATCGACTCTAAGGCAGTGGGTTTTTGGTTTTGAATATGTACATACATATTTTTTACTGTGCATTGGGTGAAAGTTTACAGAGCAGATTAGATTCCCATTCGGTAGTTTGTACATAGAGTGTTTTGTGGCCTTGGCTTCATTCCTCACAATATGTCAGCACTCTCCATTTCTACCTTGGTTTCCGTGTTTTCTTACGTCCTGATTTTCTACTCCTTTCTGCCATCTCATCCTTGCTTTTGGGCAAATATTGCCCTTTTGATCTTGTATAATTGATTGTTCTAAGGAGCACATTCCTCTTGGGTGTGACGGTTTATTTTATGGGCTTGTCTATTGTTTGGCTGCAAGGTGGTCTCTGGGAATGGCTTCAGTTCCAGGTCAGAAGGGTGTCTTAGGACCATAGTCTTGAGATGTAGTTTTGATTTGCGTTTTTCCGACGGCTAGTGACCGAGAGCATTTCCTCATGTGTCTGTTAGCTGCCTGAATGTCTTCTTTGCTGAAGTGTTGGTTCATATCCTTTGCCCATTTTTAAATTGGATTGTCTTTTTGTTGTTGAGATGTTGCAGTATGTTATAGATTTTAGAGATTAGACCCTTGTCAGATATGTCATAGCCAAAAATTTCTTCCCAGTCTGTAGGTTCTCTTTCAGCTTTTCTGGAGAAATCTTTTGTTGAGCATAACTGTTTAATTTTTAGGAGGTCCCATTTATCTAGTTCATCTTCTGCTGTGCGTGAATTTTTAGTTATGTTTGGTATTCTATTTATGCTATATATTAGTGTCCCAAGTATTGTCCTTATTTTTTTCTCCATGATCTTTATAGTTTTAGGTTTTATATTTAGGTCTTTGATCCATTTTGAGTTTTTATGTGTGGTGTGAGGTGTGGGTCCTGTTTCATTTTTGTACTGATATCCAGTTTTGCCAGCAAGATTTGTTGAAGAGACTGTCTCTTCTGCATTTAACAGACTTTGGTCTTTTGTTGAAGATCAGCTTTCTGTAGGTGGATAAATTTATGTCTGAGTTCTCTGTTCTGTTCCATTGGTCTATGTGTCTGTCATTGTACCGGTACCAGGCTGTTTTGACTACCGTGGCTGTATAGTAAGTTCTGAGATCAGGTAGTGTGAGGCCTCTGCTTTGTTCTTCTTCTTTAATAATGCTTTACTCATTCGGCGCCTCTTAGCATTGCATATAAAGCTAGTGATTAGTTTTTCTATCTCGTTGAAGAATGCTGTTGGGATTTGGATAAGGATTGCATTATATCTATATACTGCTTTGGGTAGTATTGACATTTTAACAATGTTAAGTCTTCCTATCCAAGAGCATGGTAGGTTTTTCCATTTATGTAGGTCTCTTTTGGTTTCTTGCAGTAGTGTTTTGTAGTTTTCTTTGTATACGTCTTTTATGTCCCTGGTTAGGTTTATTCCTAAGTATTTTATCTTTTTGGGGGCAATAGTAAATCGTATTGTTTTCCTGATTTCCTTTTCAACGTTCTCTTTGTTTGTGTAAAGGAATTCTATGATTTTAGTATGTTGATCTTGGATCCTGCCACTTTGCTGAATCCTTCTATTAGTTCCAGTAGCTTTCTTGTGGAATCTTTAGGATTTTCTCTGTATAGGATCATATTATGTGTGAATAGGGATAGTTTTACTTCTTCCTTACCAATTTTAGATGCCCTTTATTTCCTTTTGTTGCCTTATTGCTCTTGCCAGGACTTCCAAAACAGTGTTGAATAAGAGTGGTGATAAAGGGCATCCTTGTCTAGTTCCTGTTCTCAAGGGAAGTGCTTTCAGTCTCTCTCCATTGAGATTAAGTTTGTTGTTGGTTTTGTAAAAATTCCCTTTATTATGTTGAGGAATTTCCATTATATTCCTCTTTTGCTGAGAGTTCTTATCAGAAATGGGTGTTGGACTTATCAGATACTTTCTCTGCGTCGATTGAGATGATCATGTGATTCTTTTCCTTTGCTTTATGTAGTGGATTATGTTGCTTAATTTTCTAATGTTGAACAATTCTTGCATGCCTTGTATGAATCCCAGTTGGTCGTGATGTATTATTTTTTTTGATATGCTGTTGAATTCTCTTGGCTAGGATTTTGTTGAAATTTTTGTGTCTATATTCATGAGGGATATTGGTCTGTACCTTTCTTTTTTAGTGATACTTTTGCCTGGCTTTGATATCAGGGTTATATTGGATTTATACAATGAATTTGGGAGTATTCCTTCCTTTTCTATGTTCTGGAATAGTTTGAGTAGGATTGGTGTCAACTCTTGTCTTCTAAATGTTTGGTAGAATTCTCCAGTGAAGCCATCTGAGCCAGGGATTTTTGTTGGGAATTTTTTTTTTTAAATGACCTCTTCAATTTCTTATTTTGTTATGGGTCTGTTCAAATTTTCTGCCTCAGTTTGTGTTA